GTTGACCTCATTCCAGTGTCACATTTGCTGTTCGATTACGGTTGAGTTCTGCCCCTAAGTTTGTAATTTGCCCAGAATTTTTGGAGAAGAAATTAGAGAAGTTGTAGTGTTGAATTTTAATAAATGCTTGCCTTTGATTCCCATCTGCGTATTTTGGACACTTAGAAAGTCTGTAGGAAAACTGGATATGCTTTTAGGGATATGTTTCTCTCCTTTTTTTTTTTTTTATTGTATAACTTGAATCTCTCCCTACAAACACAGCTGTATATCTTTAACCCAATCTAAATGGAAAAATTGAAGTAGTGCATGTAAGTGGTTTCACATAAAAGCTAGTATATGGAAGAATGTTCCATTGTTAGCAAGTCAGTAATTGTGTTAAATCTAATATTTTTGATTTCTTACCAAAGTGGCGTGTGTCCAGCATGGTTAACCAGAGTGAGATCGTGTTGTTACTCAACTGTTAGCTGAGTCAAGAACATAATTGCTTGCAAATTCCTAATTACCACCGTGAAAGGTAACGGTTCCTTTCCTGCTCGCTGTAAAGATGCTGCTGCTGCCTCACAGGGTGTTACTCTTGCACCTTTGCAGAAATTTATTGGTTTTAACATAACTTCAACTCTGGCGAACCAACAGTGTGTCAACCTTTTATTCAGGGAATGTTTTCAGCTGCTCTAGAAAACTGCTTATCCAGAAGTATTTGATTTTTAACAATTAAATTGTATTTTAACTGAAAAACTTCATTTTTTTCTTTAAGTAGCATAAGAGAAATGCTAGTGGAGGGAAGATTACAGATTCAGTTAGGATCTGTCGTTTGGGAAACATTTCTTTTGAAGAAGAATGCCAAGCAGAAATAAAATGGTTTAACAAGCAAAAGCTTTTTCCTCACCAAACACTTTCTCAGGAAAGAACTGGAATATTTAGCAATATTTTCAACTGTCAAAGAGCTATTATCTTGGCCACATAATACATAAATGGAAAAGCTGTAATGTAGAGTCACCAAGTTCTCATGGTTCAAGAAATTAATATATCTGGTGAACACTAAGTAATTCATTATCGTACTCCACTATCTAAATTCATATAGAAAGCAAGTTGCCACTAATTGAATCTAATCCCAGGAGGTAAAGCTAGATATTACCATGAGACGTGTTAACATTTAAGGGTAATCTGAGTTTTTCTATTAAGAAAAGGCTTTTTTTTCTTCCTTCTTTTAAAATAAAACCCCACAATCCTCCTCTTCAGACCTAACCCCCAAATTGTGCAATATACTTATTCACCTCACAAGGTGGTTTGACAGAAGAAGGAGGAAATGCTCGTGTTAGTCTGTTTTCATTTTCAGTGCTGCTGTTCTTTACACACAGGTCCCCGTAGTAAGATGCGACACTCCGGAGTTACCTCGGAGCACGACAGTGAAACTTGCAGGTTTTGTGGCTGATCCTCTGCTTTGAAAGACTCGAGCTTCCCCTCAGTTCAAGAAGGACAGGGAACTGCTGGAGAGGGTCCAGCGCAGGGCCAGAAAGATGATGAAGGGAGTGGAGCATCTCCTTTATCGGGAAAGGCTGATGGAGCTGGGTCTCTTCAGCTTGGAGGAGACTGAGGGGGGACCTCATTAATGTTGATAAATATGGAAAGGGTGACTGCCATGAGGATGGAGCCAGGCTCTTCTCAGTGGCATCCAATGATAGGACAAGGGGAAATGGATCTAAGCTGGAACACAGGAGGTTCTGCTTAAACATGAGGAAGAACTTCTTCCCAGTAAGGGGAACAGAACACTGGAACACGCTGCCCAGAGAGATTGTGGAGTCTCCTTCTCTGGAGATGTTCCAAACCCACCTGGATGCGTTCTTGTTAGGTGGTGATGCTCAGGCAGGGGGATTGGACTAGATGATCTTTTGAGGTCCCTCCCAATCCCTGACATTCTGGGATTCTGTGAGCTGATTTCGCTTGAGATCTCCTGTTGGAATGACAGTAAGGTCTGACGTCGCAGGATCTGAAAAAGGCTTTTGCACCAGCTGAAAAGCTGGAGGTTTGAGGCGCTCAGCAAACCTGCTCTGCCTGCCCTTCATCTCCATCGATTGCGAGTGGCAGTTGTTGATGGTCTCCCGTAAGCCGCGTAGTCCGGGGGCCGCTGGCTGTGAAAAGGCAGGAGGCTGGAGAGAGGAGCAAGTACAGATCTACACACTGGTGTAATGATATATGATAGCAATAACGAGCAATCCTTTTCTTATTTTTGGCACGGCTCACCAAAAGTGTTTATGGAAGGTAGTGTTACTAAAATGAATGATGCCGCAAAGCGCTTTAACAAGCTCGTTTTTGAGATCCGCTGTAGTTCTCCATCTCTCGTGTTTCCTCCTTTCCACGTTTAACTGCGCTGGAAAGACAAATGGTCATGACCTCCTTGTTACAGTATGCTTTGAGGTAGGTATGTACTGGGGAAGGCCAAAACGTTAAAAAAAACCATAAAGCA